TTTTAATATCAGACAAGACCTGCAGGTTAATGATGATTTAATTTATTATGGCGAAAGATTAGTTGTACCCCAAAGTTTGCGAAAGTTTGTATTAGATACTCTACATGAAACTCATTTAGGATCCTCTAAAATCAACAAAAAAATGAAACAATTGTTTTATTGGCCAGGTATGACTTCTGATGTAATAAATGTAGTTTCAACATGTAAAATTTGTCAAAAATTTGGGAAATCAAAAACTAGAAGTCCAATGATGAATCATGATATTCCAAACATTCCATTCAGCAAAATTGCAGTTGATATTGCAGAATTTCAACGAAGTTATTATCTAGTAACTGTGGACTATTACTCTCGGTGGATTGAGGCTCTGAATATAAGTTCAAAAAGTAGTTCAGTTATTATTTCTAAGCTTAAAGAAGTATTTTCTAGATTTGGGATACCTAGAACACTGATTGCCGATAATATGCCTTTCAACAGTATCGAGTTTAAGCAGTTTTCTCAAGAATGGAATGTACCAATCATAACATTAAGTCCATACTATCCCCAATCAAATGGATTAGTGGAAAAATCTGTCGGAATAGTGAAAGAAATGTTTAAAAAATGTCAAGAAACAAAACAAGATCTGCAGTTATACTTATTAAACTACAGAAACAGCCCAATATCTAACCTTGAAGTTTCTCCAGCTCAGCTTCTTAACAGCAGACACTTAAGAAGTAAAATTCCAATGAGAGAAGAACTATTAAAACCCAAACTTGTTGAGGACAGCATCTATGAAAAAATTATAGAAACTCAGAAAGCACAAAAGTCATATTATGATAGAAAGTCTTTAAACCGTGAAGATAGCTTTACTGAAGAGCAGGAAATATGGGTTCAAGATGTATTCAATAAAATATGGGATGAAGGAGTAATAGAGAAGAAACTTCAACAACCCAGATCTTACTTAGTTTCTATTAAAGATAAGGGTATAAAGAGCAGAAATGATAGATTTATAAAAAAAAGATTAGGACTTCAAGCTCAAGGGGAAGATGACGAATAACATATGTTAAATATTCATTTGTTTATGTTGTGTTTGTAAATATTTACTTTTGGGTTTTTAAGAAAGAGAGTGAATACAAAACTATGACTTCTAGTTTAATAATCAATATATATATATATATATTATATCCTATATCCTATTATATATATAATATATATAATATATATATATATATATATACACGTCCGTGAACGCGATAACTTGAGTAATTTTTGTCCGATTTTGATGAAATTTGGTTTAAAGGTGTAAAGCGGGATAAACTTGATTGAGTTCGCGAACCAGCATGATCGGACCATGGGAACGGGGCTTTACGGGGAGTTTTATGGGGTAAAAATTGTGTTTTCTCACCTTTGACCCTCAAAACACAAAATTTCCCAATTTCTCTTTAGACCTTTTTAAAGAGCTTAAAAAACATTAATTTAGTATATAAAAGTATTTTTGTTCGATTATTAGTAACGGAGAAAATTTAAAAAAATTGTAAATTTAAAATGCCCATGTTATTCTTATGGAGAATATTGTAAAATGTTGCAATTTGCTTGTTTATGGATATTTGATCAAACTTGGCAAATTTATTTATTTTATACTAAGCTATCAAAGAAAAACACACATTATTAGTTTCCGTGTAGCAGCAAACCTAGGTACTCGTTAAACCTAATGTTATTTAAATATATTTAATTTAAAATCAATTGAGACAAATGGAAATTTGCTTAGTCGGCAGGTTTGCTGCGGCGGGGGTATTGTTAATTACTAGAAAGCTACCAAAGATAGACGGTGGGTTTAAATTTATAAGTTGTTTGTTTTTGCAATACCTTCAAAATGATACACCATTTGACATATGTTTCTATTTACATTTTTTATGAACATCAGCAACATTAAAAAAATCATTGAAAGAATCTTAAGTTTATAAAACTTTGACATAACGCATATAATATTAAAGTAGAACTCACGATTATTAAGAATTTTCAGACAGAACGAAAATGGGTTTAGTGGTTTTTACAGTGCATTCTGTAAATATCAATATTTGCATTACAAATGGCCGCCATTTTGAAATGGATAGAGATAAATGAGTTCTGTTTTCACTAAATTGTTTGTCTAATCTAGAGCTATAAAAACTTCGCATAACATGACATATGTTTACATTTGAAAAATCTAAGATTCGAACCCATGACCTCCATTTTCACGAACACCCTGCATTTTAATTTTTTTAAATATTTTTACGTTGTTCCTTGGGTATGAGTTAGTGGGGAAAAGTTTTGTTTCATCTCTGTAAGTCAAGATGTTCGTATGCAATCTGTTTAGGACAGCTTAGAAGACTCACTCTGTATATGGTTGATACTGTGGAGTTGACTTTTTGGATTTCGTTTGAGTTGTTTTAATTTTTTTTTTTTTTTTTTTTTTTTTTACAAGTATCTATTTACAATCTATTCAATACTAGAATAATAAGTAAATTTTATAACCATCTTAACATGGGTTAGATACACTCCATCAAGTGCACTAACATAATTTTATTTTGTTAACTCTTTATTTATGAACCAGGTTAACAGATGTTTAAATAAAAATATAAAATTCTGGCTTTGCTCTGGATGTAATAAGTCCTGAAGTCTGTGGTTAACCTTAAAAACTATTTTAAACTACGTCCATATGTTATTTGTAAACAAAAGGAAATGAGTTTGATCTAATGTCAACAGATAGCGCCGCCTTCCAAACTTTAGCCCTTAAGTGTACTTTAATGGTGCCTTTTCTTAATATTCTGAGACGTATTTGCACATCTACGTGAAAATACCTTTCATTTGACACCTCAAACGTTAAAATCCGTCAAACCGTTATCGAGTTATGACTGTGAAAAGAAACCTGCTTGCGTATTAATATATAGATTCATTTTAATAAGTACTTACTTTTGCTGCTACAGGGGAAAATGTGTAGTTTTTTATTGAAATGATGATAGCATGAAATTAAGAAATTTGCCAAATTCGATTCAAATAAATATATAACCAAGCAAACTACAATTTTAATTTACTCCATATTATGGAGTAAGCCAGCGTTGTCCTTAAGAATAACATGATAATTTGAATTTACACTTATTTGGAGTTCTCTCTGTACCCGTTAGGCATACAACAATGCTTCAATATACTAAATTAGATTTTTTGTAGCTTTGTAAGCTAAAAAAACTGATTAGAAAGAAATTGTATTTTAGGGTCAACAATAGGAAAAACACATTTTTACCAATGGTAGCTCTACAAAACCCCATTAAACCCCTCCATAAACCCCTGTTCCCTTAGTCTGATCATGCTGGTTAGCAAACTCGTTAGAATAAATGTAGGTTTACACGTTTATATAATTTTTCATAAAAATCTGATCATTTTAGCGAATTTCCCTACAGGGAAATAGGTCTTATCGTAGGTGGCACGGTAAGATCTGGACACGGGACCTATATACCTTTTTAATTTCGATGTCCCTGGAGGCCAAAAACACTGTTCGTTCAAATTTATATATATGTATATATATATATAGATTTATATATAAGCATATATGTGTATATATATATATATATTGATTTCAGTATAAGTATATAAATATATATATATATACTTTTATATAAACATTTAGTATTTTTAACACTTATTATCTTAAGTATCAATATTGTCTATATCAATCAACACATTTATATTGCAGAAAGTAGTATGTTTTCTGTGGTACTGTAAGACTACCTACAGCGTGTGTTTTATAGGTCAAAATAAAGAGAACATTTGCACATATTGTGAGCCTAATCGTAATTTGAATTTGTTCTACCAATATTTATACAACTCGGCATGTAGGCTATGTTCAACCCAATTAAACCCATCTTAGAAAATGTCTCAGCTTTATCAAATTTAAACTTTCAAAATAAAAAGGTCTTTAGAAATATTCATAATTATATTTCATACAATAAATAAACTGGATGAAAGTTTTACATAGTATTGCACATGAAGCACTTTTCGTCAGAATTAAAATACGCATTATTTAAAGAAACGATAATAGATTCAATTGATGAAGGATATAACGTTGTAGGAGTTATGGATCAATCTAAAGCTTTTGACAGTATTCCACACGCAATAACTTACTGTTAAGTTAAATTAAATGTCTCGGTTAAACAAGTTATCTTTAGATTTGTTTGGATCTTATATTTTAATGGAAAAAGTATGTTTAAATTATATCCTCAAAAGACTATAGCATTATCAAATATAATTACATATCTCTTACAGCTAACTGTGTATGGCGTTCCTCAAGGACCCATTCTTGGACCTTTATTATTTCTTTGCTATATGAATTTAAATGGGTGGTGTTTTTGGCCTCTGAGGACTCCAAAACAAAAAAAGTAAATCGGTCCTGAGTCCAGGTCCTACCATTCGAGAGCTACGGTAATAACTTATTCGCTAAAAAGAAACTAGGTCAGAAATGTGGAACAAACCAACTTGGTAACTATGCAAATGAGTAACCTATATTTTGAATAAGTCACAACCGATGTTCACACCAGGTGGCTACATCAATACATCAAATAGTAAACTCAAGATATGTTTATCGGAATCTTCGAATGTTTATACAAGTTATAGCTTAGTACAAAAACAAAAAAAAATGTTTGAATTCGTACTGCCAGATTTTATTGTTATAAAATACGATTTTATAGAACAAAATTGGGTTTTTTCGTAAGACAATCTTCATAGCTACATAAAAATTAAAGTATATGTAAATTATTTTATGTCTGATCTGAATAAGAATTAAATATGTTTTCATATGAAATCAAAAATAATCACATTCATATGATTTTATGACTCATGATGCTATCATAAGTTCCCTTCTTAACACTATAATAAAAAAGAGGAAGAGATGGTCGGCCGTGGAGGTGTGGGACTCTTTTTGATTGTGCCAAGAGACACTTTGAAACTAATCCCCAAGTTTATTAATGGAATTCTATTCTATCTCTACTTACTGAAGAAAAGAGCACCCCATCCTGCGACGTAAGGCTTCTGGCCTGTCAAAGATGTAGATCTGAAGTAAGATGTGGAGGGAAGGCAGATTGGCTGGATAAAATCTGGAACAGGATCAATAACTATTACACTTAGTATATCCTTCTACAGATTACACTAGCTAAACGGTAGATATGTACAATTCGTTGTGGAACGTATTTTACGGAATTTTGTAGGATTTTAGATTGATTACTGATTTAACAATTATTTTTTTTCAAATACGGAAACCCCCGATGTAATTGTATTTTAAATATGAGATTACTCATTTTCAAGAACCTGTATCCTGATTGCTTCGTTTTAAACAAATAATTTATTTGTAATAATAGTTAAATCAGCCTACTCAATAGTAAATATTAAAATTCCTAACACTTTTTTGTAGGCAACAAGAAGGACCTTTGGCAAAATTACGCATTTAAATAGAATTCAAAACTTATTTCCGAGATTCGAGACAAGACTGATAATGCAATACCCTTTTACCGTTCAAAGATTAGCTTTGCTTAAGGAAGTTATTAGGTGAATATCACTATTAATTTAAATGTTTTGATTGTATATTATCTACTCGCCTTTGGCTCGCCCCCTTTTTTTTCAAAACCGGTAAAAATTTGAAAGAAATTTACCAAATTTTGAAAGTAGGGCGTTTTTTGAAGCTGAAGGAGTGCGATTTTCGCAAAACGCCTTAGAAGGTCTTGTAGCAAATTTAATTCCTGTTCATGAAAATTCATTCAAATCCTTTCTAGCTCTTACCGTGTTCGAGCTATAGCCGTTTGAAAAGAACGTGTTTTGTCGCTTGTACATGTCCGCCATTTTAGATTTTTTAGGGGGTTGAAATTTGAAAATGGGTTTTTTACGAATTTCACCGTTAATGAAAGATAAAATACTGCAATACTACGAGGTTTCAAGTCTCTAGCACCTTTCTAAACGGTTCAGATGAGCATACCAAAATCGGCAACTTTCAATGTTATTCTCCATAAGAATAACATGGGGCTCGTAAAAGTGTTTTAGCCATATATTTAACCATAATAAATAAAGTGGTAAAAAACCTTCAAATTTTTACATTAAACCTAAGTTTTGGGGGTTAAGGAGTAAAGATACGAAAAAACAGTAAAATTTAAAGTAAACTAAGAAGGATACAAAGCATTAAAAATATTTGTAAAAAATAATTATTTAGGTAAGAAAAAATTGCAAAAACCGTTACAAATTTTTAAAAAAATTACCAAATTTTGGAAGTAGGGCGTTTTTTGAAGCTGAAGGAGTGCGATTTTCGGAAAACGCCGAAGAGGGTTTTGTAGAAAATTTAATTCCCGTTTATGAAAATTCTTTCAAATCTTTTCTAGCTCTTACCGTTTTCGAGCTATAGGCCTTTGAAAAAAACGTGTTTTGTCGTTTTTAGAGGTCCGCCATTTTGGATTTTGGGGGGGGGGGGGTTGAAATTTTAAAATGGGACTTTTGCAAATTCCACCGGTAATGTTAGATCTCATACGCTCTTGTGTGTATCATGTGTTTACTATGAACAGCTGTAATTAATACAAATTATTCGTCTGTTGAAGTAAACAAAATCGTTTCATCATAATAAATACATTAGGATTTTGATGGTCTGTGGGTCAAAGCCCAAGGACTTGTTTTACATGAATCGGTGAAAGGGAGTGTCTACCCTAATATCAAAACCGAGAACGTCCAAGGGTCAGCCCGGAGGAACTCAGGGAAGTGAATAGACCTTCCTAGATATGTGGACAATCTCTTTGCTTAATTTTGGCTGTATCGGTTTAGTATTTTACTTGTGACATCCGCTCAGACAGACGCCTTCTCAATTTTATAATAGTATGACGATTTAACCTTTTACTATAAGAAACTATAACTATTTAGATATCTTAACAACCAACTGGCAATGTCTCAATATCCAAACCGAGTGAGATTATTACTATCGTCTTAAAAGAAGTCTCGTTAAGCTATGATCGCGTATGAATGAGACGTAAGTTTTATTCAATCATAAAGCTATTAAAATATCAAATAAAAAGTATCTATAGGTCAAGTTTTAAGAGGGTTCCATCCGCCGGCTGGTTACCACGTAAACATGGTTCCTCAGAAAAGAACCTCGTGTCATTATTTAAGTGTTTATCGAGTTGAAATCAACTGTAAAATATGCACAAAGATCCAAACCATGCCATAGATGGACTGTAACTTTGTAATTTTTTTTTAAGTATGAACAAAATAGTTTTGAAAATTCGTAAATTAGTCTTTTCCACAAGTGATTTTAGCTTCTAAATAAATGTCAAACATTAATTTATCCCCATCCATTGCAAGCTCTGATATGTCAAGAGCACAAAAAGCACACAATCATTGGAAACAAATTAGTTTTAGAGTATTGAGAGCTTGTACCGTAGAGAAGGTTTAGCCGCCCCCTTGAATTGACCGGGTAGAACCCTCTTAAGGAATTTTGTTTGCTAACAACGATACAAAATGGTCTTACTGTTTCAATATATGATTATTTGAACTAATAAAACAAATGGCAACGTATATCAGTGAGTTGTGAGCAGTGAACTGAGAGCTATGAGCTGTGGGGCGCCGTACCGTTAAACTGGACCTGTGTCTTCAGCCGCACCACGGCAATGTCATCAGTCTTGCCTGAGCTTCTGTAGTTGGGGTGGGGAATAGCTCGGTCAACGTCCACCTCGACCGGAGAGGCTCCGTCGACGACCCCTTCCTCTAGGTCTAGGTCACCTAGCCGCACCACAGATCTGCCACAAACCAGTGATGTTACCATCTTAATTCCAACGATTCTCTTAGAGGGTTTAAAAAGACGATTACAGAACCGAATGAAGATAATTATATCAGCCGTATTTCAAACTATCTACCGAAAACAGAGTGTCTACTCATCTCCACACAACCACTGCAGCCTAGCCCTGGAGCTAGATGTGTTGCTCAAACTATCTACCGAAATCAGAGTGTATACTCACCTCAACACGACCACTGAAGTCCAGCCCTTGAGCTAGATGTGTTACCAGAATTATCAACCGATATCAGAGTGTCTACTCACAGTGTCTTGTCCTGGGGTGTGACGACACAGTGCGCTGCAGTAATGACATGTCTGTTGGTTACCAGAGCGCATCCACTTAACCACTGCAGCCCATCCCTGGAGCTTGATGTGTTACTCAAAGTATCAACTGATATCAGAGTGTCCACTGACAATGTCTTATCCTAAGGTATGACGACGCAGTGCACTGCGGTAATGACATGTATGTTGGTTACCAGAGCGCCTCCACACAACCACTGCAGCCCAGCCCTGGAGCTAGATGTGTTAGTTAAAATATCAACTGGTATCAGAGTGTCTACTCACAGTGTCTTGTCCTGAGGTATGACGACACAGTGCGCTGCGGTAATGACATGTCTGTTGGTTACCAGAGCACCTCCACACAACCACTGCAGCCCAGCCCTGGAGCTAGATGTGTTACTCAAACTATCAACTGATATCAGAGTGTCTACTCACAGTGTCTTGTCCTGAGGTATGACGACACAGTGCGCTGCGGTAATGACATGTCTGTTGGTTACCAGAGCACCTCCACACAACCACTGCAGCCCAGCCCTGGAGCTAGATGTGTTACTCAAACTATCAACTGATATCAGAGTGTCTACTCACAGTGTCTTATCCTGAGGTATGACGACGCAGTGCGCTGCGGTAATGACATGTCTGTTGGTTACCAGAGCACCTCCACACAACCACTGCAGCCCAGCCCTGGAGCTAGATGTGTTACTCAAACTATCAACTGATATCAGAGTGTCTACTCACAGTGTCTTGTCCTGAGGTATGACGACACAGTGCGCTGCGGTAATGCCATGTCTGTTGGTTACCAGAGCACCTCCACACAACCACTGCAGCCCAGCCCTGGAGCTAGATGTGTTAGTTAAACTATCAACTGATATCAGAGTGTCTACTCACAGTGTCTTGTCCTGGGGTATGACGACGCAGTGCGCTGCGGTAATGCCATGTCTGTTGGTTACCAGAGCACCTCCACACAACCACTGCAGCCCAGCCCTGGAGCTAGATGTGTTAGTTAAACTATCAACTGATATCAGAGTGTCTACTCACAGTGTCTTGTCCTGAGGTATGACGACACAGTGCGCTGCGGTAATGCCATGTCTGTTGGTTACCAGAGCACCTCCACACAACCACTGCAGCCCAGCCCTGGAGCTAGATGTGTTAGTTAAACTATCAACTGATATCAGAGTGTCTACTCACAGTGTCTTGTCCTGGGGTATGACGACGCAGTGCGCTGCGGTAATGCCATGTCTGTTGGTTACCAGAGCATCTCCACACAACCACTGCAGCCCAGCCCTGGAGCTAGATGTGTTAGTTCAACTATCAACTGATATCAGAGTGTCTACTCACAGTGTCTTGTCCTGGGGTATGACGACGCAGTGCGCTGCGGTAATGCCATGTCTGTTGGTTACCAGAGCGCCTCCACACAACCACTGCAGCCCATCCCTGGAGCTTGATGTGTTACTCAAAGTATCAACTGATATCAGAGTGTCCACTGACAATGTCTTATCCTAAGGTATGACGACGCAGTGCACTGCAGTAATGCCATGTCTGTTGGTTACCAGAGCACCTCCACACAACCACTGCGGCCCATCCCTGGAGCTAGATGTGTTAAAATATCAACTGATATCAGAGTGTCTACTCACAGTGTCTTGTCCTGGGGTATGACGACACAGTGCGCTGCGGTAATGCCATGTCTGTTGGTTACCAGAGCACCTCCACACAACCACTGCAGCCCAGCCCTGGAGCTAGATGTGTTAGTTAAACTATCAACTGATATCAGAGTGTCTACTTACAGTGTCTTGTCCTGGGGTATGACGACGCAGTGCGCTGCGGTAATGCCATGTCTGTTGGTTACCAGAGCGCACCCACTTAACCACTTCAGCCCAGCCCTGGAGCTAGATGTGTTAGTTAAACTATCAACTGATATCAGAGTGTTTACTCACAGTGCCTTGTCCTGGGATGTGACGACACAGTGCACTGCGGTAATGACATGTCTGTTGGTTACCAGAGCGCACCCACTTAACCACTTCAGCCCAGCCCTGGAGCTAGATGTGTTACTCAAACTATTAACTGATATCAGAGTGTCTACTCACAGTGTCTTGTCCTGGGGTATGACGACACAGTGCGCTGCGGTAATGCCATGCCTGTTGGTTACCAGAGCGCCTCCACACAACCACTGCAGCCCAGCCCTGGAGCTTGATGTGTTACTCAAACTATCAACTGATATCAGAGTGTCTACTCACAGTGTCTTGTCCTGGGGTATGACGACACAGTGCGCTGCGGTAATGACATGTCTGTTGGTTACCAGAGCACCTCCACACAACCACTGCAGCCCAGCCCTGGAGCTAGATGTGTTACTCAAACTATCAACTGATATCGGAGTGTCTACTCACAGTGTCTTGTCCTGGGGTGTGACGACACAGTGCGCTGCAGTAATGACATGTCTGTTGGTTACCAGAGCACCTCCACACAACCACTGCAGCCCAGCCCTGGAGCTAGATGTGTTACTCAAACTATCAACTGATATCGGAGTGTCTACTCACAGTGTCTTGTCCTGGGGTGTGACGACACAGTGCGCTGCAGTAATGACATGTCTGTTGGTTACCAGAGCGCATCCACACAACCACTGCAGCCCAGCCCTGGAGCTAGATGTGTTATTCAAACTATAAACTGATATCAGCGTGTCCACTGACAATGTCTTATCCTAAGGTATGACGACGCAGTGCGCTGCCGTAATGACATGTCTGTTGCTTACAAGAGCGCCACCACACAACCACTGCAGCCCAGCCCTTGAGCAAGACGTGTTACTCAAACTAATAACTGATTTCAGCGTGTCCACTGACAATGTCTTATCCTGAGGTATGACGACACAGTGCGCTGCGGTAATGACATGTCTGTTGGTTACCAGAGCGCCTCCACACAACCACTGCAGCCCAGCCCTGGAGCTAGATGTGTTACTCAAACTATCAACTGATATTAGAGTGTCTACTCATAGTGTCTTGTTCTGAGGTATGACGACACAGTGCGCTGCGGTAATGACATGTCTGTTGGTTACCAGAGCGCCTCCACACAAACACTGCAGCCCAGCCCTGGAGCTAGATGTGTTACTCAAACTATCAACCGATATCACAGTGTCTACTCACAGCTAGGAGGATTAAACATTAAGGAGAGGACACGCTGTAGTTTCGTTGAAGCCAGCGTACTGGGGAGGGGGGGAGGCAGCGCTACTCTCCCGCCCCCTCTCATACTGCGTTGTATGCGTTACTGGAAGATTTGGTAACAGAAATATCAATTAACTATTTAAAAATTAGACTTCATCATCCTACGAAAATTAAAAAGTTAAATTCTAACCGTAATATTAGGAACCTATTAAGAGGAAAGTCAAATATGAACCAATAGTACGTTCAAAGGTGAGTAATTAATTTACACAAGGATGACTTATTTTTTGGAATTCGTTGTCTTTGTTTTTATTTTTTGCCATACTTGTATTGTGTATTATTTATAATACTCTAACCAGAGCGCGGGACTCCGGTTCATGGGGTCCCGGGTTCAAATCCCGCCATATCACCAATGGATTTTACTGTTCATAAATTAAAACTCAAATCATGAGTAGTACTGTATGTGTATTTGAACATTTTCTTAAAGAGAAATAAAATAAGTTTTAATCGTTTAAAATAATGATAAACGCACTTTGGCGGTCAGAAGACGTGATGATTGTTGAACATTCACACTTTTTACTCGAAGTTTCTTTAGGTAAACAGATCAAATATAGTTCAATATGATATTTAAAAAATCAAGAATTTGATTGCAAAGATATTGTTTTACTTTTTATGATTGTAATTTAATTGTAACGAATGTTGGTGTAAAAAAAGTTAGAGCGGCTTTGCATTTTTTCTTAACTTTGGCTATTTAAAATCACCTGCCTAGCACATAAATGACTTAAAACTAGTAAAATATTATATTAACAAATCGAAAAAAAAACTATGAAAAATGCAAATTTAAAATGTATTTCGTCACCCGAATTAAAATTTCCATTTTAACCTATTATTAGTAAGATTGTTTTATAAACTGGAAAAATAAAAAAAAACTTTATTGTAATTATTTTTCTAAATACCACTTTTAAATATAGGTAAATATATATTTTTTATTTCGAGAAACTCTTGAGGAACACGAATAAATTGTTAATTTGAGTAGATACATCATATTTTTTTCAAAAACGTAATTAAAGTAATCATATGTTCAAAGTCCAGGTCAATTCTTTCAACTTTGATCTTCAATAATAAATAATAAATAATATTTTTTATAGGAATGATTGACACTGTTCGATAGGAAATTTAATTTACTTTAAGAATGCCATCGGTGAATAACACAGGTGTTTTAGTTTAGCGGCAATTTTAATTCGAAACAGCGCGCGTCGCGTTTTTCCCTATCTCTCCCATGTTATAGCCGAGGCTTTTTGCCACTCTACGGCTCCGCGTGCCCCTCTAGTGTTCTGCTAAAGCTGGCTTCACCGCAACACGTGTATTCCTATTTGCGTGCCCTCTCCTTAATGTTTAATCCTCCTAGACTCACAGTGTCTTGTCCTGAGGTATGACGACACAGTGCGCTGCGGTAATGCCATGTCTGTTGGTTACCAGAGCGCCTCCACACAACCACTGCAGCCCATCCCTGGAGCTTGATGTGTTACTCAAAGTATCAACTGATATCAGAGTGTCCACTGACAATGTCTTATCCTAAGGTATGACGACACAGTGCGCTGCGGTAATGACATGTCTGTTGGTTACCAGAGCGCCTCCACACATCCACTGCAGCCCAGCCCTGGAGCTAGATGTGTTACTCAAACTATCAACTGATATTAGAGTGTCTACTCATAGTGTCTTGTTCTGAGGTATGACGACACAGTGCGCTGCGGTAATGACATGTCTGTTGGTTACCAGAGCGCCTCCACACAAACACTGCAGCCCAGCCCTGGAGCTAGATGTGTTACTCAAACTATCAACCGATATCACAGTGTCTACTCACAGTGTCTTGTCCTGAGGTATGACGACACAGTGCGCTGCGGTAATGACATGTCTGTTGGTTACCAGAGCGCCTCCACACAACCACTGCAGCCCAGCCCTGGAGCTAGATGTGTACCCCAAAGCTGCTATCCAAGGCCACTCTCCTAAAGGTTGTCAATAAACATGTTATATTTTACATATTATAATTCGCCCTTAATGCTATACAATGCCCTTTAAAACAAACTACATTATTATAGTACCAGAACTTCTACAGTAAAATCTTTAGCGGCATGAATACTGTAATTATTTCATAAATTTCTTCATAGCATTTTCTACACATATATGTCCAAAAAATGTCCAGGAACATCATTATCTTATTCGAATCATTGCATTTTTATAATGCAACAAAGCTTCAAAAATAAGTAATATACCTAAATGTTTTAAAGGACGGCCCACTTGTTAAACTATAGGTTTGTTCATTTACAGTGTTAACTGTGTGTTTTTTTTTTAGGAACACATCACCACAAACCCGACCACAAAGGGTCATCATTTTGGTAAAAAATTACGAACTTGAAATTTGGTTCTTATATTACTAACAACTTTTTCGCCGCAAGATATAATTTACAGTCGTTACTAATAAACAGAGCGAGTAACAACCATGTCATACCTAGAGCTGCGTCTTGTCCGCCAACTATTCTATCGCCGACAGCAGCAGCGATAGTGTTCTTGCCACAGCGAGCTGTACTGCTGCCTCCAGTCTGACTCTGCGATGACGGGCGACTGACTGAGGAGGTTCTGTTCCTGACAGTGTCGCTCCAGATAGGTCTACGAGAGCTGAGGTCAGGGCAGCACACGAGCGACTCCAGACCTTCAAACCCGCACCTAGACTCGTTCAGCAGCGACGTCGACGACGGCTCATTCTCCCTCAGCAGCTCCAGCAGCACTGGACACTTCTTGAGACCGCGACACTCCCCGGCCTCGTCGTTGGGCGTTGTGCATCTGTCTCCCACTACAGAACAAAGTATACATCCCATCTATATACAACCATAGACAAAAAGGATTAAATATAGCCCGACAGCAGTTATGTGGTTAGCGTAAGTTCTGGCGTCCACCAATAGGAGTGCCGTGTAGTTACGGCGCACATCGCTGCAGCGTCTGGTGGTTGCACACGGCGAAGAGTAGTATTTATATTATTATTAGTGATGTAGTAGGCCCGCACCGATTTACTTGTTAATTTTGTTATCCCTAGAGGCCATAAACACCATATCCGTTCAAAATTTTATAAACGTACTAGCTGTTGTGCCCGGGCTTTGCAACGGGAAGAGGACACGAAATAGAAACATTTTGATCTGTACATCTCTTGTATTAGTGCGGCCTTGGTTAGTTACACATCCGCCAACGCTTTTATAAACAAAATTCAACCTTTATGGCCTTTATAGAAACATTTATGGCTTTTTAATCTGGTAAGTAGTGAAATCCGCTGTTTTGGTTTTGATTAATTTTAAATCTTGCGTGGGCTGATATGTGAACATCTTAGCGAATTTTCAAATAAAATTTTCACATCCATGATTTTCCTTCAACTCCCTTGTTTACATATCTTTTTCTTCATTTTTGAAATTTTGAATTTCAATCTTTAAGTTGCAAAACTACTAATTATTAAATTTAAATTTAAAATGTTCATGGATCAATCTTCTTTAAAAATTCTTCTTTCTTACTAAATCACAAATCGTTCCATCTTCACTCACAATAAATCATTAGCAACACTAACATCATTTGTTATAAACTTTAGAAATATTGTTGTGCTTTATCAATTAGCCTACTTAGTCTGTTAATACTTTAATACTTTTCAATGAAATGGCGACCATACCAAGTAGGTATTTTAAGCCAAGTATGAATGGAGATGAGTGTAGGATGAGTGGCACGATCTTGTAGTCTTGTAAGTAACTAAAGCCAACATATTCCTTAGACACAGCAGTTAATTTATAGCCTATCCAGCTAATGGCAACTAAGGGACCTACAGTTTAAAGTGGAATCCGAACCACATTTTTGTCTTGGTATTAACGAATTGGTCTAATTATCAGAAGAGTACTGCGGATAGTCGTATTACTTACTAGTGCGGAGGTAAATCCACACCAGGGAGTATCGCACCCACAGTGCATGCCTATAAATATCCACAATTCGTGACCGCCTAGTAGCTGGTTTACAGGTCGTCGCCACCGTCCCACTCCAATTTTAATATTGTTGGCGGCAATGGTGTTAGAATTTAATTTAAAGTCATATGATTCTTGATTACATGTGATTATGTTTTGATTTTCAAGTTGTTATGATTACAAGTTCATTATTAAAATGTGTTCTGAAATTCTTTAAACTTTTAATACTTTAAATTAGATTCATCAACATGGTGTCAGGTTTTTGGATTACAAGAAATGAATAATATACCAGTTCCTGATAAATTTGACTTCACGGATAAATAATAGGTTACGTACCTTGGTCCGTCTTCAGTCTTATTTTAGTCAATGGATGACTAGTTTCGGGTGCATAGACCCATTGTCAAATCCTTTTCAAAACATCATGTAGAAGCTAGTCAAAAATCCGACGGAAGTCTTCATCATTATATAAATACAGGTTGACACATAAAGTTTATTATTTAAAAACACAAGTTACGAAACATATAAGACGATTGATAGGCCGGCCACATTTAACACGGGACTAACCGACACCGGTTACACGGCGGACACGACAGAACTCCGCCGGAGTTTTTGACAATGGGTCTATGCACCCGAAACTAGTCATCCATTGACTAAAATAAGACTGAAGACGGACCAAGGTACGTAACCTATTATATATTCGAATATCAGTCTTGGTGGCAAAAATGTTTAAATTCACGGATAAGCAATCATCAGCAGAAAATTGGGAACTATTTGAATGCCAGTGGGAGAACTACATCACCTTAGCACAAGCATGCAGCTCAAAAAGTGTTTACAACGTTGATGACGATTTCCCTGAGAAGCGGTTATATGTTAACCTTCCTATGTGTGTTAAGGGGCAAAACAAGCAACTGAAATGTCAAATAGATAGTCAAAAAAACAGACATTTGATTTGATTGAAAAATAGATAGTGGTGTGTAATGCAATGTTATTGGGATTGGTACTTTGCAGGAATTAGTTGGGAGTCCCAAACTAAGAGAAAGCAACACTTGACTAACGTTTTATGGAGGTGAGTCTCAATATTCGCTTGGGAAAATTCAAATTCATGTCTGGTGGAAGAACCGGAGACACAGGCTGACCTTTGAGGTAATTGAAACTCCTCATAATCCGTTACTAGGTGTCCAAGATTGTATAAAGCTGGGACTTATTTCATTTGATGAGATGGTGTATCAGATAAAATGCTCTGAAAATCCCAATGAAATGCTGTCTACATATCCTGATATCGGAAAAGGCCGAGGATGTTTTGATGGACTGTATGATTTCGAGCTAGATAGATCCGTGCGACCTGTAGTAGTCCCACCCAGGAGATTTCCTGTAGCACTAAAGGAAGAAATCAAGCGATTGGAAGACCTTGGAGTTATTAAAAAGGAAACAGAACCCACTGATTGGATCAGCGCTATGGTAGTGGTTAAAAAGCCAAATAAGCTCCGCATTTGCATTGATCCACATCAACTGAATAAAGCGATCAAACGCTCACACTACCAGGCACCTACTATTGAAGAGGTTGTTCCTCAGCTAAAGAAAGCTAAGATATTCAGCAAACTTGATCTGAAGGACGGTTTTTGGCATGTTCAGCTTACAGATGAAGCCAGTAAACTAACAACATTCTGGACGCCTTATGGGAGATATCGGTGGTTGAGATTGCCGTTTGGTATATGTTCGGCTCCAGAGGAATTCCAGCGACGTGTTAATGATCAATTAGAAGGTCTTGATGGCATAATTGTAATAGCTGATGATGTTGTTGTGTTTGGAAGCGGAGACTCGGAGGAAGAAGGTCTAAGAGATCATAACACGAATTTGAAGGCACTTCTGCAAAGAGCTCACGAAAAAAATATTAAATTCAATTTAAAGAAATGCATGATTGGCATGAGAGAAATCAAATACATGGGCCATATAATCAGTTCTGATGGCCTTAAACCAATTCTGAGTAAATATCAACTATTGTCAACATGAATCCTCCTCAGAATAAAAATGAACTTCAGCGATTTCTAGGTTTTGTAAATTATCTAGGAAACTTTATGCCTAGATTATCTGAAATCTCAGCACCACTGAGATTACTCTTGAAAGATGACTCTGTTTGGCTGTGGGAAAAGTTACATGATGATACATTTCATGACCTGGTCCGGATGGTTACATCAGCTCCAACTTTGCAGTATTTTGATATGGACAAACCTGTTACTGTACAATGCGATGCAAGCCAGTTTGGTTTAGGGGCATCTCTCTTGCAGGGGGGTAAGCCAGTTGCGTACATATCCAGAACACTAAGTAAAACAGAATCCTTTTATGCACAGATTGAAAAGGAGTGCTAGGCGGTTGTTTATGCTTTGGAAAGATTTGAACAATACCTTTTCGGAAAACTTGACATTACGGTTGAAACAGACCACAAGCCCTTATTTTTTTGAAACGATTTTTAAGAAGCCTTTGACATCAGCTCCAAAACGACTGCAACGCATGCTTCTTTGCTTGCAAAGGTTTACATTCAGTGTAATTTAAAAACCAGGAAAAAGCATGCTGATAGCAGATTTTTTGTCACGTGCCTCTATGATGGGAAACAAGCATCATCAAGATAAAAATGTAGAGATATTCTCCTCTGATACCTTGAGAGCTCTGGAAAAAAATAGGTTCAATCCAATACCTTAATGTTACGGATAGAAGACTGTCACAGATCAGAAATAATACAGCATCAGACCCTACAATGGTGAAGCTAATGGATGTTATTCAGAAAGGGTGGCCTTCTTCATGAAAACAGTTATCAGATGATCTGAAAGCATTTTGGCCATTCTGTAATGATCTAGCAGTTGAAGAGGGTATAATTCTCAAAGGAAAGCGAATTTTAATTCCATACAGTTTAAGACAAGATTTAATCCAAGTTATACATTCATATCACCAGGGACCAGACTCATGCATTAGGAGAGCAAGGGATGTTTTCTTCTGGCCGTGTTTAAGTCAAGATGTGAGAAATGCTATAAGCTCCTGTAAAATATGTAAGAAATATGCTCCAAACCAAAAAAGAGAGCCTCTCCTGCAAGATTCAACTCCAGAAAGGCCGTAGCAGAAAATTGCCATTGACCTCGCTCAGGAGGGCTCAGCCCATTATTTGATTATAAGTGATTATTATTCATCTTTCTTTGAAGTAAAGACAACTACAAGATGTACCAGTGAAACTCTGATTAGCTTCTGCAAAGAGCTGTTTGCAAGATATGGGATACCTGAAGTAGTGGTTGCAGACAGTGGCACACCACTCAAAGCTCAAAATTTCAATAATTTTGCACAAGACTGGAAGTTCAAGATTGTATTATCACCACCATATCATCATCAAGCAAATGGGAAAGCCGAATCGGCAGTTAAGATTTTTTTTAATCTATTGAGAAAATCTCGAGATGACGGGTTGGATTTTTATCAGGCACTTCTGGAGCTAAGTAACACACCTCTGCAAGGCATACGGTATAGTCCAGAAACAGAAGGTTTTTGCGAGAATGAAAATTGGAAAAGGGAAGGTGTTGGCAATGGTGTTAGAATTTAATTTAAAGTCATATGATTCTTGATTACATGTGATTATGTTTTGATTTTCAAGTTGTTATGATTACAAGTTCATTATTAAAATGTGTTCTGAAATACTTTAAACTTTTAATACTTTGAATTAGATTTATCAACAAATATAATATAGTTTTGGAATATTAAAGAAACTATACCTATAATAAAAAAGTTGTAAATTATTAATTTAGCATTAAAGACTGTAGACAAAACTAAAAGAGTAACAAAACATCTAGGACTAAAAACTGTAATAGTAAATATAGTATATGTGTAATTGCCTTTCTGATTATAATCTACAAAAATATCAACTAACAACATAATATACAAACCAGTTCTTTTATTCAGTTATATAGTCCATTGTCTTTACATTTTTACACTTACCTTTGATTAAGTAAACATATCAACAGATATTTCATCGATTTTAGAAACAAAAGAAAGAACACTGTGTACAGCTTAATTTATGATAGGCCTATCTTTCTTGTTTTAATTTAATCAGTGGTGTATCAAAACACATATAATAAATTTAATAATTAAATATAGTTAGCCTACACGTATACCTAAGACTTTTAGAACACACAAATCAACAGCGTACAATTTAATTATTTATGATGCTCTTTAGTTTAATTAAGTATAGGTGTGACAAAACACAAATACTAAACCAACCTAAATGTAAAAAAAGTCAATGTGAAGTGCAAATTATGTTAGGTTACTTAATCAAACACAGGTTAAGCTGTTCCAATTTATAAAAACAAATCATACAAACATCTATTGTAATTTTCATACTGTTTCAATGAAAATATATCAATAACATTATTTTCATAACATAAACACGTTAAATAAAGGTCAAAGCAAAAATGTAAACATAGTGATTGTTCTCATTGCAGCCATGGAGACCAATCAATATTTACTTTCAAAATCCTCATCTCAGAGCTTTTAATGTCAAAGGGGCAAACCCCCTTTTTTAACCACAGGTTTACTGTGGCGGGGGTATTTAATTCTCATTCGTCTCTCCACTAGTACGTAGTACATAAGCTTTAAAAGGACGCCTCTATCGCAAAAATCTGTCAAGTAGGCCGGCTGGAAATTTGGAAAGGGATGTTACAGAGAACTACTTATTTAGATTAAATGTTGTACTTACCACTTCCAGACGTACTAGCCGACCGTCCCAAGTTTGGAACGAGCAAGATAATTAAACACCGAAGTATCATTGTTTCTGGAAGATATGAACAATAACATTATAAACAGCTATGATAAGAAATGTTTTTTTTTATCACCAGTGATTTTGAGCTATATATGCATGGCAAAATAGTGTCACGAGAAGGAAAGTTCTTGCGTTTTATCACTAGATACCTTAAAACTTTCATAATTTCAAAACACAAACTTATTCACATGTCCACAAGGTTAGTATGTTGACATGAGTTAGAATCGTATCCACGTCGGTGATAATGATCTGGCTTGTTATTGGCTGGCTCTCCTTGGCTTTGGGAAATCCCAAAGGAAATGTAACTTTTACAAATCAAACAAAACATTACGTGATGTTTCATCAACTGAACCTTTGAAGAAACCGTTGATTTTATCTTCAGAAACTATTGAGTAAAGATCACAAAATATAGGTACTTTAAATTACATTGTTTTTTTTATTGACAATTTAAACTAATTTAGAGCCTACACTTTCCTTAAAGCGAATTTCCCATATAGGGCATAAACTTTAACCGTAATTCTCATGGTAAGACATGGACCCGGGACCGATCAGCTTTTTCATTTTGAAGTCCCCAGAGGCCAAAACATCCATTTATATATATAAATATGTGTGTGTCCGTTAGCACGATAGTTCGAGTAAAAATCATCTGATTTTAATACAATTCTGTACAAACGTGTAAACTTAGTTTTATTCGAACGAATTCGCGAACCAATATGTTTGGGCTATGTGATCGGGGGCTTATGGGGGGTTCAATATTGGGCCACAATTGTTTTTTTTTTCATTGTTGACCACCTAAACAAAAGATTTTGCATTTTTTTAATAAATGGTTTTAATTTTTTGGGGGATATATTTTGATCAAATTTGTAAAGTTAGTTTATTTCATACTTAGCTATTAACGTATCACTAAAAACACTTTATTACCTTCCCTGTGGCTAAACCTGCAGACTAAGCGAATTTCCATTTTTCTGATTTGATTTTCACTTAAATCTACTGTATTTAAATAACTAGGTTTAACGTATACATAGGTTTCCTGCTACAGGGATAGTAATCAAGTTTGTTTTTAGTAAAATATTAAAATCTAGTATATAACATATAAATTTTCCAAGGTTAATCAAAATATATCCATAAACAAGCAAACTAGTTTAACTATCCTCGATAAGAATAATATGGTTAGGATTATTATTAAATGTAAAATTTTAAATTTTCTCCGTAACCAATTTTACAAAAACACTTAAATATATATGAATATGAATTTGAACGGATGGGTTTTTTGGCCTCTGGGTACCCGAAAACAAAAAAGTAAATCGGTCCCGGGACCAGGTCTTACCATGACACCTACGGTAATAGTTTATTCATAGGAAATTCGCTAAAAAAATACATCTGACAATATTTTAAAGGAATATTGTTGTGAAAATCCTACCTCACAAATGGAAATTCATTTAGTCTGCAGGTTTGCTGCTGCGGAGGTATTTAATGGTTTAACCCGAAAGATCAAAAATGCTTAAACTATAATAGCCAAGCTACCTAACATTCCAAATATAGCTGTAACATTTAGTAAAGATATAGCCACATTTCAGCATTATTATTTGAGGACTTCGTTAGGAGTGTTTTAATTCTTTTACATTGCACTTGTTTCAAAATACTTAAACACTACTTTTTCCTTTTCTACTGAACTTTCATGGAATGTGATTCGGTCGGCAGTGTCATTTATCGGAAGAATAGCAAAGAATATTTTAATTTCATTTTTTAGAACATATTAACACATTTTTGTTTTTTGAAATAAAAGTTTACAAACAAAGTTTTTCTTAGAAATTATTTTGTCTTGAGCTTGGTATTTTACTGATATGATTTGGTGCATTCATAAAAACACGATATGACAGAGGCACATTTGTGTAAACCGTTACCACTTCACCATACCGGGCTACCTCGTATCTGCATGTCTCATCATGTGCCACAACCTTATCAGCAGTAAATAAATACAAGTATTTTTGGCTCACTTTAAATATACATGTATATTTTAACAACCTATTTAAATATACGATGGTATCAATGTCACAGCACAACCCTTACAAAATAAATTAAGAACTTGGATGAGCTCCTGCACCAATAACCATAAGCAATAAGCAATACAAACATCGAGATGGGATACTCACGTGGCGTAGATGCTGAGTTCTTGTCTAGTGATTTGTGTTTGTAGTAAACCAGTGCCATCCCTACCAGCCCTCCCCTCCCCTCAGTGCTGACGTACGACCGGCTGGCCATGGCATTGGCTTTGGCAGTGGAAACGGTTCAGGCCATTCCCCCGAGTCACACAATTTTTCGACCAATCTCTGCTTCGAAGATTAACGTATGCGGACATTTGAGTTTTAATTGGCACTTATCATATCTTCAACCTCTCCGATGACGATTTCCCAGAATTCTGTGCTACATATTTCATTGGTCGGTTGACTAAAATAATTGCTTTAAAGTATTACTAATAATATTAGTGCCTTAGTATCAAGAACAAAATTCCATTTGATTGATTTATTTTGATAGATGCATGCAATACGAGTAATTTGTTGTTCAATTTTTTTAGTTGGGTTTCCTTGAACGAAGATAACTTTTACTATCGTAAATGCTATGGCAAGACCTATATAAGATAATAGTGGCTTTAGAACTTAGAAGGTCTCATTATTGTTTGTTTAAATTTGTGTGTGAGCGAGTGTTTTCACCGGTATACCGTAAATGTGGCATTCAATCATATTCAATGTACGCAAAATATTATATGTATGTATCATAATTTACATGTACAATCAAAAAACAATCAAAGGAAGATATTCCACTATAAAAATTGGATAATCGATAGCAATACAAAAAGACATGTTGAATATATACAACAAAAGTTTATATTTCTTAATACACTTTATTAGTGGTATAAAAATATGGAAACAAATATTTAAATTAATGAAAACATGGAAATACATCACACCAATGCTATGATGACCTATACATTGAAAACGTTCATAGTTTATCATGCTACAAGTCGGTCAATATACAGGTACATAAGCACAGGTAGAAGAGTAGACATTGGTCATTTGTCTACTCTTTATTTTGAGGTGTAAGTATAAAGTAAGTCGAAAATTGTACGTAAAAACACTATCAAAACCTAATAAATGTATTACAGATTATTCTGGGCAAATGCTGTTGCAAATTTCTGCAGTTATAATTATTAATATATATTATTATTATATATATAATATTATTATATTTATTACAATTATTAATATATATTATAAATATTGTTTATATATATATATAATAAATATTCATAAGATATGAATTTTAGATTTAGGTTTTTTAGAATTTTCTCTGTACCCAATATCCGTGGGTGTTCCAATATACTAAATTTGGCTATGCTCTTTTAAATGGTTTAAAGAGAAATTGGGATTTTTTGTTTTGGGAGTCAAAAGTGAAAAAAATTATCCCATAAAACCCCGGTCCCATGATCCGATCATGCTGGTTCGTGAACTCATTCAAGTTTATCTCGCCCTACATGTTCAAGCCAAATTTCATCAAAATCGGACACAAATTACTAAAGTTATCGTGTTATATACATAAATCCTAGTGTAGTTTATTATAGGTGATAATGTATATAGTTTTTTTTATTAAAAAGTATATCGGTCCCGGCTCTAGGTCTTACAGTGCCACCTACGGTAGTAGCTACCACTTCCTTATTACAGGTAAGTTCGCTAAAATCAAGAGGAGTCCCGAGCAGATACTCAATATGTTCGCGTAAGATTATTATTATAAATGTTTGAAGAAGTAGCTAGCGAGCCAGGACAATAATTGGTCAATTACCGAGACATGGTCTGGGCAGCCCAGCTGTGGGGAGTAGATTACAGGTGTCTGATCTATAAGGAAATCTGCGCTCCTACTAGTAGTAATGCAGTGGGCACGAACAAGAAAAGGCACATGAAACGCACGTATGCCTGTGCCGTGCACATTTATTTCTGTTATTTGCGTAAACATTAGTGAGAGATGGTGTCTTTTTGTCCAGTACATTTGTATTCTTTTAATATTCTTTATCTGTGAACACCAAAAGTTAGTTTGATGAAAAGTCAAACTCAAAAACATTGGTCAATTGCTAAACTTGTTTCTTAAGTTAAATGTTGCAAAACAACTCAAAATTGACTCAGAAAGTCATGATTCACTAGACTATCATGATCTGATGTCTCACTTCAGACTACCTCAGGGCAGGATGTTTTGACGAAGTAAAATGGCGATTTCAAGGTCTTACACGCAAAGTCGTTAATGCTTATAATGAGCAGTACTGTTAGAGGAAAAGAGTAGTGTAGTTTTTATAAACTACTTACAACAAATACGTGTCAAGATTTCAGGGTTTACTCTAAATTTGAATAATGTAGATTTTGCTGACATACTTACAATTAATTAAGCTTGATGTTAAAGTAGTATCACTCAAAAGCAGGACACCCAAGGAGTTTACTTATGAACTAGGCTGTATTAGCAGATTATAGGTTATTTTGATGGCCAGTTAATGATTAATCAAACATTTTATCATAAATTAAAACAAAATCTTTCTTTAAAGTCAATTTTTTTAGATGGTGAGTTTGGAGACGGTACCTAAACGTTAATAAAATTACTGATCTTGGAACGAAATCAAATAAGTTAAACTAGTGGTATAGCTTAGATCATGAGAAACTCATTGTTTTGATAATATGTATAAAACATCTTTTACTTGGGAAACTTGATTGAATGATTGATTGTTTAAAGGGCCTATGATATTAATGTTCCGTCTGCTTACCAATTATTTTAACGCTATTATTACTTTTTGAGAGACTGAACCTTCAGACCACGAGCTCTTATATCACACGCGACTTGATTGTTTTAGATTATTTGCAACATGCACCATCCCAGGCATCAAATATGCTTACAATCCACCCGTTGAATTGATCCTAGGTTAAACCCAGTTTATCATTTTCCCATTGCTCCCATTACGTTAACAGCCGTGGTGATCCTGTTTATTATTTTCCCTCCGGAAAGTTACTGACGTCGGCGGTGACCACTATAATCACATATGACGTCATCACACTGCTCGGTTAACATTTCTGACTGATTTCCTACAAGAGCTGAATTTACCCTATTGATGAATGCCCGGCAAAAGTGGACACGGAACATTGGGGACACTTAATGATGATGTGTTGTTAAAAACTGCATGAAAATTTCATGAAAAAATGCATGAAAAAATGCATGAAAATTTCGCAGACTGATAACAACCAGGCCTACGCACAGGCACCTGCCCATGTAGGCCTATCCCATAAGTATGGCAGATTCATTAACAATTATAGTTGTACTACTGTAGTTATCTTTCTCTCTGTTTTTATTTATCTGTATCTTTCTGTAATAATATTGGGATTAATAAACGTATTTCATTTCATTTCATTTCAAACTATACTTAACCACTCTGGATACTCAACGGCATGGTTTTTGTGACGAGTTAAGAGTTTAAAAAGTTTAGTTTTATAGTAAAATACATTAGAATATGTCTTAATAGAGCATCCAAGTTATAATTAAAACTCTTTTTAATCTCATATTATTCTAATCAAATACATTTTATTGTTTGCATATGTAAACCATTTTCGTCTTCATTTTTACTGAATTCAATAAAGTAAGAAAGCCAATTTCTCTTAGTGATGACCCATCTTCATTCTTAATTTGGTTAACAAGCATTTTTATACTGACGAGCGATCTAAAGATCTGGACCGTTGTCCGTCTCCCATTGCACATCTTCTTTGCATGGTTGTCAAATCATTGAGGTCAAACATTGACTGGGCCACAACCACTGAATGTGTATGTTACTATAACATAATGCTATTGAGCGGAGCAATGATGTTCACATGATTGCGGGAGATTATAAGAATTTTGCCGCAATCGTGGAAGACTACGATAATTTCCACATGACCACGGGGGACTGGAGGTATTCTTGATTGTTCCACGATTGCGGGAGAGTCAAAAACGTTTTCGTGACCACCTGAGATTTTTATGGTGAATGTCTGCAAGGCCTCGGGGGATGAGCATAATTTGTTGACTTAAGTGAAAGTAAATTACTAACACCTAAGGGTTTACTGTTACAATAATTATCTTTTATTTTACTGAAGTACACACACAACATTTTTACTCAAACATAACTTATTCAAGAATTCTCTTTACAATAAAAACAATCCTAACTATTTACACATGATCAGCTGTTACCAACATAAATTAAATTAAATACAGAACAAGTAACAGCAAACATATTATATAAAAATAAAATTACATTCAACAGAATTTACCGCGATCGCGGAAATGACGATGATGTCTACACGACTGCGGTAGATGATCCGAATTTGGCCATCGATCTGCGATCGATAATCATGATGGCTATAATGATGTTTCCATTCCACGGGATATTCTTTTATTATTTTGCCGTGACCGTGGGAGACAATGACGATGTCTTCATGGACGCGGGAAATAATAAAAGAATTTCGTGTTTGGGGGAGACTATTATGATGTCCACACACGACAATCATGTCTATTCGACCGTGGGAGATGGTCAAAATCTTGCCGCGATCGCGGAAGACCATGATGCTGTTTCCGTTCCGTGGGGGATATCCATTCATTATTTTTCCGTGACCGTGGGAAGCAATGACGATGTCTTCATGGACGCGGGAAATGATCATTTTTTCACGATAGGGAGAGACGATTATGATGTCCACACGACCGTGGGAGATTAATCGAATTTTGCCGCAATCTGCGGAAGACTACGATAATTTCCACATGACCTGGATATTATCGTTATTTTGCCGCAATCGTGGTAGACGTCGATAACGTTTTCGTGACAACCGGAGGCGATGATTGTGATTCTGTTACTGAGGAAGATATTCAAGATTTTGAAGTGATCCCAGAATACGACGATAAAGTCTCCACCACTGCGGGAGATGCTCTTGCTCATAAAGATTTTTCTGAACAGTTAAAGGTAACTCTTTAGTACACTAAGACTATTCTCTACATTAGATCCTTCAGATGTGTTATAAACCACATTTTGCACCTTAAAATACCAAAATTTCCGGGGGGGGGGGGCTCCGAACTCCCTATCCTGGGGGACCTCCCCCGGATTGGGTCCCTCCCAAAACGAAATCCTGGCTACGCAACTGCTATACGGGGTTGGTTGAACAAAGAAAATTACCTTCAATTGCATTT